GAAGCAGGCTCCCTGCTGAGCAGAGAGCCCGATGCGGGGCTCGATCCCAGGACCCTGAGACCATGACCTGAGCCGAAGGCAGAGGCTTTAACCCACTGAGCCACCCAGGCGCCCCCACATTTTTTTTTTTAATCTTCATAACGTTAATATAGAATACCATGTCTTGTGGCACGTCCCTCTCACACTCACCGATCTGAGGTGTCACTTTGGTGACGTGGCAGCTTCTTTCCTGCTTCTTTCATCTCTGGGCCAGGCAAGGGTGCAGGTCTATAGCGAAGGGCAGCAGCTGCTCCCACATGGTTCCCCTGCACTAAATGGAGACACAGAGACAATGATGTTGAATCCAGTTCATCTGCTGCTGGTCTGACTGATACCTAATGGCTAATAGCAGAGGACTTTACTCTCGGTATCAGATACAGAGACAACAGCACTGCAAGGATGCCTCTTCCAATTTCCATAATTGTGTAATTTTAGTCCTTACATGAAACCCCTTACTCTGTATCACTAATTTTGTTTTGCTTCTTCAATAAAACCCTGACTGCTAATAAAAATCTCTAGGCCTTTTCCATCCAAGAGAGTAGCTATTAGCCACATGTGGCTATTGAGCAACCTAAAATATGGTTAGTCAAAGTTGAGATGTTCTGTATCTGTATAATACACATAAAATCTCAAAAGCAGTAAGAAAAAAGGAAAATATTAATAATTTTTATACTGACTACATGCGGAAATGATAATATTCTGGATATACTCATTTAAATAAAATAAATTATAATTAATTTTGCTTTTTTAAACATTTTTAGAGTGGCTACTAAATATTTTAACAGTACAGAAGTAGCTTGCATTTGTGGTTTTCATTCTATTTCTATTGGACAGTAATATTCCAGAGGAGCAGAACTTTAGCAGTAAATTTTCAGAATTAACTCTAAGACATCTGGAATTGGCCTCCTATCTGGTAAGACTGAAGTTATGGATATTTTTATTTTTATTGGTGAAGGGAATACACATAGACCAAGGAAAGCATTGGTAAGTCAGATATTTGAGGATCACCTGTAAACATCTATAGTAAAGTATATACAGAAGGCAAAGCTTTGGGAAACAAAGCGGTTAATGATACAGAACATTATAGTGAAGACAAGGAATAAGCTTTGAGATGGATGTTTTCTTCTAAGTACACTGAATAATTTAGGGAAAGAAATGTTAATGCAGGGCTTGGAATTATCAGCCCAGGATCTGGATAAAGAACCAAAATTTTCCATGGATACCCCCAAAGAAACAGTATACTCTGTAGTGACAGGGCCAAAGCTTCTAAAAAACAAACCAAAGTCTATTTCTGAAGATGACTGAATTATAATGGAAATTAAATTACCACGAGTGTGGGTTCTATAATATTAAAGTTAGAGCAGTTCTTAGGAAAGAATAAAACCCTGAAAACGGAAGTGAGACAAGTAAGCTTACTTCAGTGAAACTGGAGACAGTAAACCCTTAAATTCTGCTGAGCCTCATTTGCCACTAAAAGAAACCTTTCTTCCCCTGACTAATGTTAGTCCCTCCTTGAATGAAGAATCTTACCAAGATCTGGATTGAATGTATTAGTTTAGGTGGTTGAGCGTGACTAGAAATATTTGATTTATTGACTGAAACCTAGAACCAAATGTGGCGTGTACTAAATAGACTTGAAATACCTGGATATCTTTGGTACAATATAAGGGAAGAGAGAGGGTATCGGAATGCTACATCAGGAACACCTGATCACCAATCAGCCTCACACATCACAGTAGGTCTACATGTAGGGTTCAGGAAACACTCGTTTCAGCAACATGATGAGAAAAGCCCTGTAGGGGGAGCAACTGCATCCTGAAGAGCTCAGTACCGGCTACACACTGTAGACCTAGACCTACAATCGGAACTGCTGTCATCAAAGCGAGGTCCCCAAATACAATGGAGATGATTCGACTGTAGATGTCAGGGGTCAGTACTTCGAGGGAGGTATTTAGTCACCAAAGACACGGCAAGTAGAGTCACCATAATAACAAACAAAATCATGGCATAATCAGAGGGGAATTTGGGTGTTGTCTAGTTGATCATAGCATCCCTAAGACTAAAATAGATTGGCAGCTTACTAAAATCTTTCTTCTTTCCTCTAAAAGGAAAAACTGGTTTGGTGAAAAGAAATCCAATTTGAATCACAACATGAGCAAGTCATAGCCCTTTACCAATTCTAAAACTTTTCTGTTTGAAGACCCAAAGCCCATTGAATAAAGGAACCAAGTATTCTTGAGGAAGACATTCCTGCAACCAAATTTTTACATTTAAATCTCTTCTTCTAGCTTTCCTAAAATTATCTGAAGCCATTTACCCGCATGGTAAAGGAATAGGGGATAGAGGAAATAAGAAGACCTTCCACGAGTTACTGGACACTGACTCTGATTTGACCCTATTTCCTAGCAACTCAAGATGTTTAAGTCCACTTCATATAGGCCCAGCAGCTCTCTAACCCAACTTTGGCTACTTCCTCATTTCCATAGTGTACAATTGAAATAAAGATCGTGACCAAATGACATATTCCCTGCATAAGTTCCTGAACTGGTAGAGATGGTGCTATTATAATACTAAAGCCTAAGTGAAAGTCACTAGAATTTTTCGACCTACCAGTATAGTAAATTGAAAGTAATAGTACTTTTCTGGAAAAATTAGAGGTCAGTGTCATCATCAAGGAACAGCAGGTGCAAGGATGGTGATTTCTACCATATATCCTATATGACTCATCCATTTGGATATAAAATGGAATGCGTGTGAAATGGTATTTAGGGAATTACAGTGGATTATTGTAAACTTAATTGGATGTTGACTCCAATTACAGCTGCTATTCAAGCATGATTTCACTGCTGGAGCAAATCAACGTATCTTCTGACAGCTGATATGCAACTCGATCTAGGGAATGCTTTTTTACCTTCTAGTAAAGACTATTAGAAGTAGTTTGATTTCAGTTGGTAGGACCATCAAAACACTCTCACTCTTTTTACCTGGGGGTTATGTCATCTCTTTAGCTTGCTATCATAATCTAGCCTGCAAGGACATTAATTGCTTTCCCAATCCACAGAATATAACATTTGTGTGCTACATGACACTACATAACATTGCGCTGACTGCACTTGGTGAAAAGGAGGTGGCAACTTGGTAAGACATGTGCAAAACAGGGGGTCTGAAACAAATCCCACAAATACTTAGTGTCCCAGAATTTCAGAGTCTCAGTGCCTTGGTCATTAGCTGGTATAATCCCTCCATAGTGAAGAGCAGGTTACTGTATTTGTCTCTTCTATTAAGGAAGAGGCATACCACCAAATTGGCCTTTTTGAATTTTTAGGGAAACATATACTTCATTTGGGATAGTAATTCTCATTTTTTTTTAAGATTTTATTTATTTATTTGACAGACAGAGATCACAAGCAGGCAGAGAGGCAGGCAGAGAGAGAGGGGGAAGCAGGTTCCCTGCTGATCAGAGAGCCCGATGCGGGGCTCCATCCCAGGACCCTGAGATCATGACCTGAGCTAAAGGCAGAGGCTTAATCCCCTGAGCCATCCAGGCGCCCCTCCTCATCTTTCAAGTAATCTGAAAGGCTTCCAGTTTCAGTTTTGAGTGTGCCCAGAACAAAAGAAGGCTGCTTTGGTTCCAGGCTACTGTGTAACTTGGGCTGGATGACCCAAGAGATCAAATGGTATCTGAAATATCTGTGACAGGTAAAGCAGTTGTAAGAAGTCTTTGGTGGGCCTGTGTAGGAAAATAATAGTATAGTCTTTAAGGTTTTTGGAGCAATGCTATGTCATCTTCTGCAAAGTCTGTTCATTTTTTGAGTACTGGGTTTTGTTTTGAGATTGGTCCACAGCAGAAACTCACTGTGCTGCCATTGCTAATCTCAAGTCACTGACTGCTTTAAGCTTTATAGACAACAACTAGACATTATGAGTCAGATACAGGTCTAATGTATCCTCCAAATTCCAGGAGGTATACATCACATTCTTTAGTGGACTAATTAAAGTCCCCTTTCCTACATTTTAAGTAAAAGAAAATTATCCTGTAGAAGGGAAGTAGGAGAATGAACATGTGTATACAGAGGAGTAAGGGAGAAATAGGTAGAAATAAAAATACCCACAGCTTTCTAAACAATCCTCTTCTAATAGTCCCCTCCCCAACTATGTTATATCCTCAATTTGGATGACAAGAGATACCCAGTACATATTAATTAAGATCCTTCTTCAGGAATGAAGGACTCATTTCCCTATATTCTGGGACTGTAGCCAGTTCATAGCCTTCGTCATCACCCTTCTTTATGCATTGCCCTCATCTGAAGAGAAGTGACTTGCCCAAGTTCACGTTCCCCTATTCAGGGGCAGCCTATATCCACTAACAGGTAAATGTAGGAATATCAATGTCTGGATTTGTCCCAACTCTGAACAATTCCAAAGGCCTGTCTCACATTCATAATTCCCTCATGTGTTGGGTTATAGCTCAACTTCACCCTCTGCTCAGTACTTCTTCCTTCCTTCCTTCCCCTATAGGGCTGATCCTGAGAATATTCACTAACTCATTTCCTCTCCACCAATCCCCATTTTCCCACCGACACTGATTTTTAAGAATTGACATCAGGAAAGTTCCAGTGGAGCAGATGACAAGCTGGGATTTTGGATTAAAAACCACTGATAATAGGTAGAACACAGATAGCCCCTGGCACAAGGTAGCAGTATCATTGTTATAATTTTATCCAGGAAAGAGTAGGGACAGCATACTAACAGAGATGTTTGCACTAGTGGGTGTAATAGATCAACAATTTCAGAAATAAGGCAGGAACGGTAAATATAAGGAAAATGGGTTGATTTGCTTATCTGGGGGCAACTGATATTCACGGAAAAATTTAATAAAATATTAAAGTGTATCAATTGTTGATTTAAAGGTAATTCTGAAAGTAGGGGACATTTTGGGTAACATGTAAAAAGATTCACTCCTGCAGCTGCAGGGCAGAAAAAGATAGTGGGTTGGCCCAGGGCTTAGTGATAAGAGTAGCAGATTTCTGGAGAAAGTTCTCAAGCCAAATAGATCTCCTATTCCAAAGACAACACCCTGACCTATTAGAGGAGGACATCAAGATGGCTACAATGTCAAGTCTTGAACCCTCAGATCTTCCCTAGACCTTTTTGAGAAGTAACCCACTACTCTCTTTTAAGGTGCTTCCTCTCCTTAGTAACCTCTCCTCAGCAAAGCAACGTGCCCTGGTCAGGATCTACCCCTACAC